TATGCTGTGAACAGGGGCAATAGAAACTTGTCCTTTGCCTTTCACTTTATTAATGCTGCTTTTAAGCAAGCTGTGTTGTGCTATCTTACATTTACATAGGATCAAATCAGAATTCTTGTGTAATTTGCAATAACTCATTAACATCTTTTCTGATACAGCCAGTTCTGGAGGAAGCCTGCTTATCTCATCTGTCCCTCTTCTCAGATCATAAAACCTGGTTTGATGGCAATACTTGCAGTTTAAAAAGGAAGAAAAAAGAAGGTGTGGGAAGGAATTAACACCTACAAAGGGCAATGTTTTCTTCTTGTATCTGTGCAGAATCAATGGTGTTCCCACAGGAGCATCCCCTCTCCCTCCAGTTTCGGGCTTACACTTTCCTGCCTCTCCTTTTTGGCCATCCCTTGGATGGAGCGCAACCATGCGTGGGAAGGGTGTTGACTGGAGTGCAGATGGGTTGCAGACAGGGCTGGGTCAGGAGGCTTGGGGAGCAGGAGGACCCTTTTCCATGAGCTTCCCACCTTTGGTTATCCCTGCAGCTTGGCCTGTGCCTTGGCCTGGTGCCAGCTGAAACAGTTTGCAGCACTGGGATGTTGAGGGCTGGCTGAATGGGCCGCCTGGGCCCAGAGCCAGTTTCTGGGGCTTGTTTGGCTTTGCGCTGCTTTCCTAGCAGGGTGAGCTGTAATATGTGTCTGCTGTCATGAATCAGATCATAGGTATGGATAATTCTCAAACCAGGCATTTACACGAGTTAATTCTGTGTTGTTCAGGCTGAAAGTTGTTTTATTAAGGAATTATTCAGTGTATTGCTCAGCTGTTTGCTTTCAACTTCATTGGTAAAATGAACATGGGGAGTGTGTCCCTGTTATCTTAAATCCTTAATAACCAAATAAAAACTCTTTCCATCTGCCCTTTCTGAAATATGCAGCACTACTAAGGCATCTCTTTGGTAAAACATTTTAGCACTTGTTTAATATTTTTAAGTTTTTCTGAAGTCCATGTTTAAATATTGTGTTGGATTGGAGCCTAACGAACCCCCAATATCCACATAGTAAAGCCGCTTTCCTTCATTCACAGGAGCTGGTCAGTTCCTGTCCTGACTCCCCGGGTACGGATGTGCCCTCCTTTCACTCGGTCGCTGGCAGCCTCGGCGAGTTGCTGTCCTGCGCCCCGAGGAGAAGTCGAGCTCAGCGCCGTGGATGGCAGGCAGGCTTTCCTTTGCAAAACGAGATCCAACTGGAATGGGATAAAGGGCCATAAAGGGTCTGGCAGCGGCTCAAAAAGTGCACAGCTATGATTAGTCATTTCCTATAAACACACATATGTGTATGTATATACTTTTTTCTGGGTTAGTGAAATCAGTTCAGTGCTTCAACCACGATCCTCGTTGGGCTATTAAAAGACATGATGAAAGTTTTTAATTGTCCTGCTAGAAATGAGAGTTGTGGAAATATTATGGGTAGTGGATCTGACGTTGAAATGGAGGAAGGGAACAAGTTGCTCATAGGTGGCTGATAGCAGGCCTACACCTATGCTGTCCCACTAAAATGGGGAGTTCTCTCACCTCTGGGATCGTTCCTTTGCTTGAATGTTTGCAGGGTCTGTGCTGCTTACTGTGGTAAGGTGCTTCTAGCTGGGCCTGATTTAGTTAGGCCAAATGGTAATTAATGTCCCACTAAATTGAAATCAATGTCCCATTGATGCCAGTAGGAGTTTTATTCACTTCAGTAATGTTTTGGGGATCAGAGGTGTCACTTTGTGGCACTTACCTTGCTGTGCTCTTGTGCTGGGGTGTTGAAAGATGAAGGACCCCTAATGTGCAGCCCTCGAAAGTGGTGTGGGGCTGCTCGGGTGAATGCAGTGCTGGACTCAGTGTCTCTTCCTCATCTGCTCTGGAAGTCGCTGATGTCCTGAGTAAGAGTTGTGAGTGTTGAGCCTTTAAACAATAAGTAAGGAGCACAGTTTATCTAGAGTTAGGTTACAAACTCATCTCTTCCCTTATTTCCATGTCTCTGCAAGTCAGTGCCTGGGGATGCGGAAGTGCCAGCTAATTCCTTGCTCTGCCAGTGAGGTGAGCAGGAGCTGCAGGCACCCGCCTTCCCACAGGATCTGTCCCGTGGGGGACAAGGGTGCTGAGGCTTCAGCTTTATGCTGTCTTGAGCTTATCTGGTTTAACTAGGTTTCTGTCCAGTGAGGTCACTGATGGTAACTGGACAGTAGAGGTGACAGTAGTAGGAAGAGAAATTAGAAAGTAATATGTTTGTTGCTTATGGGAAAGAAGGAGAGGCACCTGTAGAAGTCAGAAAGGTCATTTGAGGAGGGAGAAATGCAGTTATATAATTTTACATCATTAATTTTATATGGAATTTAGATAAATATTTTTTTTCCTTAAAGAAAAGGAAGGAAAACATCCCTGATGTTGGTAGGTAGGTGCAGTGGTTAATTGCAGTTTATACCCACTAAATCTTTGTGGAGCTGTTGTGCCCGAGTCAGGCTGCAGCCCATCTCTGTTCTTGTCTTTCTAAACCCCCAAGTTGATGCTGTGCTTTTAGCTGGCAAAAGCAGTAAGACTTCCTGAGCCACTTCACAGCAAATTTGGTTTGTTTGCTCTCCGTTCCCTGCTGACGGCTGCTTGCTTTGAAAAGTGCTCAGCAAAGCAGCTCGGTGCTCGCAGAGGGAGCTGCTCGTGCCCCGTGGCCGCTCCGGCAGGCCGCGAGGCCGGTATCCCGCTGCGCCACTGCCTGGGTGCGCAGCCATGCCTGTGGGCTGGGAAGCACTGCGGCCATAGGAAGCTAAACCTTGACCACGTGTCAGGGATGGGTCCTTCTGCTGCTGCAGGGGTAAGGACACGTGTTCCATGAGCTTTTGATCACCGTGCAGCCATGCTGCTTTTCAGTAGGCATTTTGTAGTTGATTTAATGCAAGACATTCATGTTCTTTCCTGTGGTCCTGTATGCTGTCCTGAGGTGCTTATGCTGCCACAGAAAAAACACAGCCAGGAAGAAGTTAAAAGATGGAAGCGGTTCCCTGCTTCGCCCTGGCCAGCCGGAACTACATATTTGGCTTTTGGCAAGAAATGGTTTAGGAGTACACTAATGAGGCTCAGAATAGAAAGGTGCCTGTCTGGGGTCCTCTGTGCTAGTTTCCTGCCCAAGGCCAAAGTTTAGGCTGTGCTATTTGCTGCTATGTTTTGTGCTCAAATATTTGTGCACGCATACTGGATTTTAAGTACTCTTGTTTTGTCTGCAACTCCTGACTAACTGTGTGTGTATATATGTATATACCGCAGGCAGCATTTTTGGTTGTTTACAGATGCTAATGTGCATGTTCCCTTGCTTTGTGACACATGCTGGAGTGGGATATATGGGATCTTCAGAAATTCTGAGATGAGACTTACTTGTCCCTTGATGAATTATAAGTTGTGTTTTTAAATCGGGCATCGCTGAACCTTCCCTTTGCAACAATATAGGGAAAAATCTTCCTTCTTGGGAGGACTTTCCTACCCACACTTTTCCTCCAGTTACACTGCTGAAACTGTCCAACTGTCCACCTGCAGCATGTAGTGAGTTTAGCTCAGGCCTGAACTGAAGATTTTTTTGTTTTTAAAGCAAAAATGTCCGATTTTTTTTTCTACTGGATTCCTGTAGTTCTGCAGGGATTCTCTGACATATGTATCAAAGGACCTTAGAATGGGCCCCTTCCAGAGAAACTATTCAATGTGACGCCGCATCAGCTCCTACTGTGTTCCTGGCAGCTGGGGCGGCTGTATTACAGTCACCACTGTAAGGTGCTTTTTGGTAACTGTGTGAAATATTTCTCATGTAGTTTGGGGTAGTGCTCTCGACGCAAGGAACCATGCGAGGTGGCAGAAGCAGAATGACCCGGGCAGTTGGCTGGACCTTTGTTATTCCCAGCATTTTTGGAGCAGAGTCAAGAAAGGTGCACTAGGATAGTTGATATTTTACCATAGCTGTGCATAGAGGCAAGTTCCCATAAGACATCCAAGTAGTCTCAGAGTCTTCTAGGCCTGTTTCATGACATCTGTTTGAGAAAATTCATGCTACAAGTGTAACTGGAAAAGAAGTATGTTGAAATTCTTCTCTGTCTCCTCCTATATAAACCTAGCTGTGTTGGTTATGTAATATCACGAACGTAAACGTTTTTCTTGTGTTATGTCCCTTAAATATGGTAAAAATCACTGTAAATGTTCATTTTGTTTTATGTTGCTGGTAATGGCCTATATTCCTAGGGCTGCAAAAATTGTTGAGGATCTTGGGTAAGTGTAGGTGGGTACCGGAACAGCGTAATGAGGCAGATGATGGAGAAGAAGTAGATGGGGTGATTTCCTATTTGGTCCTGCCTGGTTCTTATTTTCAGCTCTGTGTTTTTATGCCCACTAGGGGGACTGTTGCTTATATTGTGTGTTGTGGAAAGCAGAATCATGCAGTCCCTTTAATATCTTTTATGAAGCTTTAAAACTTTGATTGACTGCCTCTGGTTAAACTCTCTGAAGAATAACTCCAAACCATTTCCCAGAGTGTAACAACTGTAGGCACGGTGCTGTTCTTCTGAGCTGTGTGCTTTTGATTGTATTTTCCTATTAAATGTTCTTTTTCCTTCCCTTTTGAAAAGATTTTTTTTCCCCTCCTCATTTATCAGTCCATGCTTTCCTATATAGGACGTTTCTGGGATAGGATGTTTACAATTTTTTTTTTGTTGAGGGAAAAAAATGTTGTGTGTATTCATTTATGTTTAGTTTTGTTTTGAAACCATGGTGCCAGTGAATATGTTAAATTAATCAGTTCTTGTATTCTCAGATGTCAGTGAAACGGGTTTCTGCTCTGACTGGGAGATAGTGGTTTGGGGGAAGAGGCACATAATTTTAGAATTGTTAGGAGAAAATTTCTAAACTTGACTTTTCTGGGAGGGGGGCGGGGGGGGGGGCATGAATTGCACTTCTTTGCCGTGTGTTTCTAACCTGCAGCTTTTTCTGCTTGATACAGAATCATGAGAGAACTGGGGCAGCCGGGCAGGAGCAGCACGAAGCCCTGTGCCCAGTGAGCCGCCGCGAGCGCCGCCAGGTAAGCAGAGCGCCCCGCGGGGCTGTAGTGCAGCGAAGCCCCCGTGCATTCAGGTCGCGCATTTGGAACAAGCCCGGCAAAGGGAAACAGCCTGCAGGTTTCAGTGAAGTACATTTGCTTCTACTTCAAAGCTTTGGCATGCAAATATTTCTGTTTTCCTTCCTGGGGGAAAAAAGTGCAAGTTTTGTGTTGGGGTTTTTTTTTTTTTTTTTTTCCCCCTCCCTTAAAATGTGATATCTCTTACTTCAACAATCGATTCATGACCAAAGCCTGGCTTCCTGGGCTGACTCAAGGGAGGGCTTGGAGGAGGGGTGGAATGTTTCAAAAAACGGAGCTGCTGAAAAGGCATGCTGTTTTGTGGATGCCTCCCAGGATTGTTTAAGTCTGCATGTGTATGTGTGCGTGCGCGTGTGTATGAAAGAGAGAGGGAGAGAGAGAGAGCGCGAGATCTCCATGACAACTGGCCCGGCCGGTCTGTGTGCTCTGCAATCATTTTGCTGGAATCAGTGCTGCGAAAGGTCATACGAAGGAGTTGTGGGAAGCACAGCAGGTATTAGCCGCTAAACGTCTGCTTTTCCGATTGCCTCACATAAGGCAGAGGTTTGTCTGGGAAATACAAATCTGAGAATGGAGTGGGAAGGAAAGTGCTCCAAGTTTCAGGTAACAAAAATTGCCTTTTTGTGTTATTTCCTCTCGCTTAGGAGCTTTTTTTTTCCTGCGGTGTTTACTCCCTGCCTGGGCTAGCTTGGATTCCCTAGCTCTGGGGAATGATGTCATGCAGCAACAGTTGGATTCTATTAGCCCGGGAAAGAAGAAATGTCCTGCATTTCTGTAAAAACGACACTTTGCCTCTTTGTTGCAAATATTGTGCAAAGTCTGCACAAAGTTCTTAATTTTTTTCTGACAAATTAATTCCCAGAAAACTTCATGGAGGCCTGGAAAATGCCAAAATTAAACCAGTACAATTATTGCTGTATTCATGAAAATACTATGGAAGTGTTACAGAGTTCAGCAGGCATTTCTTTCTTTTTGAGTGCAAGTTAATTGCATCTTAATTAAGCGGAGAGTTTGGAAGCTCCGAGCACTTGGAGTGCTTGAGTGGCTGGTTGCAGAATGTGCTGCGAGTTTCTTCTGGGTTGGGCTTTGTCTCAGATTGCTGCTTCTGAAGAGATGACACCGGTAGAGTTGTTCTTGGTAAGGTTTTCAGTGGTCTCTGTTTCTCATAGTTTGAAACTCACCTTTTTGGGGCAGAGAGGGCGAAGGTGAAGAGCTTTTAAATTAATAAATCCAGCAATTGAAAGTGGCACTTTCCTCCTTTCCTCTGGCATGTTGGCTAAACACTGTAACCGGCAGCCAGCGTAAGGATGGCGTGGCTGGCGCTGCGAGAGGAGGGTGATTAATGTTCGTTTGCTGCGTCTTGGCCTCTCTCACACACTAGTTTCTACTTTTATGCTGTGCTGCCTTTTGTGCGTTTCGCGCATGATCCAGTGCGCGCTGGAGGCCATGGGAGTTTTCCCGTCAACTTCAAAGGGCATCAGAGCAGCCTCTGCTTGAGAACTTCTCGGCCTCTGTTTCGATCTTTTGACTGCAGGACCAGGCCGCTGGCTCTCGGCTTTCTTTCTTGAACTTCCCAGACAGAAGCTCTTTTGTATGGCAGCAAACAATGGCAGACCCTGGTGCCCGGCTGTGGCGTGCCTGCTAGCACGCCCCGAGATGACCGTGGTGCCTATTCCGCTTCCTGCTGTAATCCTTCTGGAAGGGAAAAGGGCAGGGAAGGGAAATCACATCCCTCTGGGCCACCTTTCCTCCCACAAAAGGCCATTACGTGTGTGTGTCTGTGTGTTTCTGTGCACACCTGCAAATTATTTCTTTCTTAAATGACAGTATCTGCTGTACCTCATGGATGATTTCCAGGCGGATTCTAGTAGGACAAACAATTGTTCTTGCTGTGATGTGTCAGTAGAGTACTTCATGGGAGAGAAGCAGGCTGTTAAGGAGCAGGTAATCCTGCACAACATGCATTCAGACTGACAGCTCCCATCTCCTGTTTAGCAGCTAATCAGCGCAGTGTAACATTTTATGTGCTTTCCTACCACATTTGATCAGCTTCTTTTTCTCTAAATGAAGTACTGCTGCTAGAGATGTCAATTAATAGCCTGATTAAGGAAAATCTAATGATTCGACCAGCTGTTTGATGGTTACGAGCAGTTAAATAAGGAATCCTTGTGCCATGCTCAAACAGAAATGAAATATCTGTGGAGCTGATGTCCTAATGTGAACCATTTTCACATTAACAAGGAATGCTGTGCTAATTACTCAAGTTTAAGGAGCATTTAGGAAAATATGTTATCAGTTGCAAAAATTTCTGAAATACAAAATGATTATAATGCCAAAAAAATGGAGCCTTTGTTTTTAAGTCCTTGCATTTTACTGACAGTTTGTACTTCCTGAAAGATGTCTGCAAGCTGTGCCAAGCTGGGCATTCCCAAAATGGAGGCATCCCAGAGGCAATAGCTGCTTTCTGGAGCTTCTGTCCTATGGTGCAAGGCAGTAGGAAGCTTGGCGAGCTCCCTCCTGGAGTTTCTGGACAAGCGGCGTCTCCCTCAGTGGTCTGTGCTGTAGTATTTACACGTTGCCTTGACAAGTGACGCAAGGCACCACTTCCATACTCCTTTAGTATAATATCCATGCGTCTTCACATTCTGAACTGCCACATTCCCCATGTATAACCGGACCAGTGGGAAATTTAAAAAAAAAAAAAAAAAAAAAAGTTAAGTGTAATTACAAAAATACCAAATGGTATCTACTTGCTTAGCTGTTATGGCTGGGTATAACACCTAGGCATTGGCACACTGCACCTCTTATTTATTAAGAGGATGAACAGAAGTCAAGGCAGATGCTGTTACACCAGGAGTGTGCGGGGATCCCTTCAAGCAGCCTGTACAGATGTGGGGGCTTTGGGGATCAGCTGCTGAGCTTCATCCATGCTCTTTAGCCCATGGTGTACAGCCTGCTGGACCGCCTGCTCTGTAAGTGTGGTTATGTGTCTTGGAGAGTTGCATTATGTTGTTATCCTGACATAAAACTCCTTGTTGGGCTTGTGCAGCCACTTTGGTGGATAGGCGGCTGTTTGCCCATGTTCTGGCTGTGGCTAGTTAGTGTCTCTCCGTTTTCCAGAGGCTAATGGGTCTCTTCTGATAAGATTAGTGGTGTCCTGTCTTGCCGAACTTAGAAGGAAAGTGAATGGATATAATGGAAATACTTTACCCCCCACCCCCGGATTAGCTAATGAGGAATTTACATACATAATGCTATAAAGAGTATAAGAGCTATAATGCTTAATTACTTCATTTATTGTGCTTAAGAGCACTTTTTGTGTAACTGCTCCTCCATAGATTGGAAATGTACTTTGCCCTGGTGTGTCCTTGTTGCTCCACGTTCCAGGTTAACTGTTATATTGGCACAGGTTTATCTTTATTAGCTGGAAACACGCTGCCTTGCTGAGGCTGTCTGGGCTGATTTTCTCTATGTTATTCAGTACTTGTTTCTGCTGTTATTTCCTTCTCTAAATAACTCCAGTCTTTTCAGTCTCTCTTCTTGGGGAAAGTTTGCTTAAAGCTGTAGAGAGTAGTGCAGCTGTCTGTTTCTGCTGTTTTCTTTGAAGGTGGGGTGATGTTAGCAGCACCTGGTTTGCAGGTACAGGCAGATGCACTATTAAATTCTCGAATATGAGTGATATTCGTTACATGTAAGCAGACGCTTGCAAAGGTTGCACTGGGTGACTGAAACAGCAGCACGTCTCTTCAGAAGAGCTGCCCTGAGGAAGCTCAAATCTTCCCTGTGTTGTGTTTAAGTTGGTTTAAATTGTAGACAAATGAACAGATAGTGCTTGCTATTGGCTCCCCTCAAGTTGCTCTCTAGTCATGGGGCCTTGGAGTGACTTTTTAAGGGGCAGGAGCTGAAGTATGGAGGATTTGCTGTGAGGAACACCCCTTGGGTATGAGCGTGGCTACCTCGACTTACATCAAGAACCTGGGGGTGACTGCAGTGCGGTCCTGCCTACAGTGCAGGCATTAGTGCTAGTCAGTAATCTCTGGTCTGCCTTTGCATCTTTGACCTAGTTGCTTTGTTGAACTTAACGCTGTTGCTAGTGTGACACAAAGCAGGCTCTTGGCACAGCCCTGCTCACAGAGCAGGGAGAGATCTGGCAACTTTCACACAAATCTGTTATAATTAAGGCTTCCGGTCTGGGATTTAAACTTCATCTTGCAGCTGAAAGTCTGAGAAGTTTTTTGTTGTTGTTGTTCTTGTGGTTGTTTCTCCAGGCTACAGGTGAAGCTATTGCCGGTGGAGACCAAGCTCTGTGGCAGGACTAACTGCAGGCAGACGTGGGAGAGGCAGGTGCTGTCCTTGTTACCTCTGTAGACTTTGCAGACGCGCTTCAGCCCTCAGCTGTGTTGAGCAGAGCCTCCTGGTTGTTCTAAGGCTCACGTGACAACAACAAAGTACCCTTAGGAGTTAGTGGAGTGTGGCACGCTTGGCTTTTCTCCAGGGCTGGCTCTTGTTCTGGGTTAAGACCTCATGAAGTGTTAATCCCCTGTGCCAGCTCGGAGCCAAGCTGTTGTATGTGTGGGGCTGCTCAAAGGAGGCCCGTTTGCCCATCTGTCAGAGGCACTGTTCCCCTGTTGGACCTTTCTTTCCCCCTATTCTGTTGCAGTTTGATAACAAGAAGATGAATCGAAGGCTGAAACTTCTGCCGACAGCAAGAAGACAATTTGGCATCCCTTGTGTAGCTGGCACGCGAAGGATACAAGCCATCAAATCCTATGATGCTCCTGTCCAGCTAAGCTTGCTGCTTTGTGACCAGAACACTCCCCCTTTCAAACATGCTTAAAAGTTGAAAGGCATCATTGAACATTTACCATGTTACGGACATGCTGTCGGACAACTCTGACAATTCAAGAGCAGCT